CACTGATAGGAAATAGAAGGAGATGGATGATCTGTGATTTCTTGCAAGGATGCTTCATTCTCATATAGGTTGGTCTTGCTTCCATTGCAGGGAGCATACAACCACCATTAAATGATGGAGGTACACTATCATAATCCATGCAAGATAAATAGACACATAAGAAATGTCTGTAAATTTTCCACCCTCAAATGGATCAACCTCAGTTTAATAAATCAGCATTGATTGCCTGAGTCTTGGAACTATTGCTTTCCAACAAAACAGATTAGTTATTGGAATGGCTAATAACCAAAGTGACTAATTAATATTTGGAAACATATTGAACAATCTTAACTATCTTGGCAATTAAAATTAAAACTGCTTTGAAATTTCCACTTGCCCCTATAATAATGGTTATAATGAAGATATCACAACACAAAACTACAACAATCAAAGTGCAAAGTTTTAGACCCCACTCCAAATGTACACATCTATACTGCAACTTCTGTACCTAAGGTTCAAGAAGATGAAGAGGAAAGGTTGTAAGAGCCAAAAGGTAAGGAAGTTTGCTGTGATAGTGTCTCCTAATAATATCAGAGATACACCCATTAAAATATCTCCAACATGATTGTCTAAACAAGAGCTGAACAATGACAACAGTGCTCAAGACAAAGTGGATGGGGCAAAGTCCACAAGACCTCAGCCCTACATGAACAACTGCAGGCAACTAAGAAATGCTAACAGCTATAGAAACTCTCTTCAAGCAAAAGAGAATAGTTTGTTATCCAATACCAAATGATCCACCTAGAATGTAAAATACAATATAGACTGTGCAGATATTACTTATGTATTTATGACTATATATGTACATGTGATATAATAATTAATGTAAAAGGGGACCATGAATTTGAAAAAGAGAAAGGAGGGGTTTTGCAGAGACTCTCAATATTCTTAATGCTGTTACTCTTCAATACAGTTCCTCATGTTCTGGTGACTCCCAACCATAAAATTATTATTGTTACTACTTCATAACTGTAATTTTTCAATTGTTATGAACCACAATGCAAATATTTTTGGAGGAAGGAGTTTTTCAAAGGGGTCACAATCTATAGGTTCAACCTCTGGTTTAGAGGAATGGAAGGGAGAAATGCGGCAATTGTAGTATAATCTATAAACAAACAAATAATTACTTCAAAAGAAGTCGTCATAAGTTCTGGCAAGAAATTGAGTAGAAACAGATGATGTATATGCTGTTGCAGTGAATATAAACTTGAGCAACCAGTATAGAAATCTCTATAGGTTCCCAAAAATTTAAAATATTAAACTACCATTGTGATCCACTCATAGGTATATTCTCAAAATAATAAGTCTACAACACACACAGCATATTACTTGTACACCCATATATATTGATGCATTATTGTTAAGAAATAAGAAATGTAACCAGATAAGAGAAAAATCAACAGATGTAATGGAGGTGGGTCATTTGTCTATCTGTTGCTTTCATTGGTTAATTAATAAAGAAACTGCTTGGCCTTTGATAGGACAGCAGCTTAGATAGGCGGAATATGTGTACTCTGCTTGGAGAATGCTTGGAGAAAGAAGCCAAGTCAGGCAGTCACCATGATTCCCCCACCCAACACAGATGCACGTTAAGATCTTTCCTGGTAAGCCACACCTCATGGGGCTACACAGATTATTAAAAATGGGTTAAATGAGATGTAAGAGTTAGCTTGAACTAATGGGCCAGGCAGTGTATAAGAGAATACAGTTTCCATTTAATTATTTTGGGTAAAGCTAGCCATGCATAGCTGGGTGGGAACACAGCCCACCATGCTCCTACAACACAGATGAATACAGAAAATGTGATATACATGCACAATAAAAAATAAAATCCTTACATTTGCTGACCAACTTAAGAAGCTAGAACATTGGGGAAAACAAAATTAACTAGATTTAGAAAGACAAATTGCTTGTTGTCTTAATACAAAGATTTGAGATTTAATTTAGACTATGCATGTGCATGTGTGTATGTGTTTGTGTGTGTGAGTGTGTGTGTGTGTGTGTGAGTGTGTGCATCTGTCTGCATCTTAAAACTAGAAAGGAGATCACCAAAAGTGAGGGGAAAGTGTTAAGGGAAGGAGATGGAAGATAACTGAATTTGTGTTACTTATAACATGGATATGGAACTGAAGACTTTGTGGGGGTAGGAAGAAAATGGGCAGAACAGTGGAGATGGAGGACCAGTAAGAACAAACTTAATGACATATACTGAAAAAATACACTGAATCATATTACTTTGTATAAGAATTCTAAAAAAAGAATAAAATTGGATGAACTGTTTGCATAGCATCCCAAATTGATAGTTGCATAGAATTCAGTGACTGAATATTTTACTGCCAACACTAGCACTTTCCATTAATGACATTGTCAACACATGTCTCTTATTTCCGCAATTTATACAAGATTCTAAGAAACCAGATCCTCAAAAAATTTCCTGTGTTTACCATACATAGTTCATAGGTGTTATTTTAGTAAATAAAGGAAAAAATGAATTGTGTGAAATTATTTATGTATTGTTTTACAGTGATACTATGTTAAAACATGGAAAGTAAGATTCTTTTTGTTTAAAGTTTAAAACAAATTTTAAGAATATAAAATGAAGCGATCTCCTGTGCCCATTTGTTGTAGGGTACTTCCCACTTTCTCTTCTATCAGGTTCAGTGTGTTCGGACTGATATTGAGGTCTTTGATCCATTTGGACTTGAGTTTTGTGCAAGGTGATAGATATGGGTCTATTTTCATTCTTCT